GACAGAACACATCATACCCACCCCTAACCTACACTGAGAAAATTTTTTCACCGTCACAGCAGATTTTTCTGCTGCTACAGCCAAAAACTCTGGCTACATAGGGGACAGCCAAAGTCTTTACTACTGCAGAAGAATGCACTTTACTGGCACCATCTTCCTGTGGCAGTAGAGCTACTTTATAAAAAAAATACCTTCCGTTGGTGCAAAGTAACATTCCTCTAGTAGAAGAGTCACTTTACTGTTGTAGGAAAGTCACTTTACTGTTGTAGGAAAGTCACTTTACTGTTGTAGGAAAGTCACTTTACTGTTGTAGGAAAGGCACTTTACTGATGTAGGGAAGTCACTTTACTGTTTTAGAGAAGTCACTTTCTGGTTATAGTGAAGTAACTTTGCTGTCGTAGGAAAGTAACTGTACTGTCCCAAGAAAGATGTTCCAATTTATTATTTTGTTATAGAAAAGTGGATCACTAATACAGGAAAGATATTTGCTGTTGTAGTATATCGTCTCTTTTAGAACAACAAAGTTCTTGCCAAGTGCAGCATAGTGTTTTTATAGTCAGTGGAAGTCAATTTTCTTACAATAGCAAAAATATTTGCTGGAAATATCTTTGAAAATATGGTATCTTCAGCCCGCCCAACAAAACTAGGATAAGCAAACTTCATTCAAACTTGTGTATTTTCAATATTCGAATATCACTTTTTGAAAATTTGGGGTTTTGATTGAAGTTTGATTATGCTAGTTTTTTTAGGTGAAAGTCCATATTTTTTCAAAGTTGAGCAAGTTTTGTTGGACGAGTGATGATTCCACTTTCAAAGAAATGTCTTGCAAATATTTTGCTAATGTAAGAGGATTAACTTCTGATAATGAAACCGTTGAAACTATTTCAGCCTAAGATCATTCATTCAGGAATTGAGGATTTTGATAAAGAACACATTATGAAAAATGTAATAAAATGCTTTATTCATACTTTATCAGTCTTGAAAAACTTAGGACCTATAATGAATAAAAAATAGATTTCTTTGGAATGTCAGTAAAGGCATATGTACCTACTTATAAGTGGTTTCAAAAATTATATAACATAACAATAATGTTCTCATTAGAAACAAAAAAAAACTTAAACTGAACATGAAAATAGATTTTTCTGAAAACCTTAAAAAAATAATGTTCTCATAATAAAAACAAAACAAACTTAAATTCAAAAGGACGTTATCCCACGAACAATTATTATTTCAGAAATCCAAACATTTTGAACGGTCTGTACCTATTTTCTGACAAAACAGTGAAATAATAATTATTGAATATCTTTAAGGTAATATGCTCAACCACATCTACCAATTCATTCATTCCATGGACAGAAAACTGAAATTATTAATGGAAACAAGTTGGAAGGTATAAAAAAATATTAGGTCTTCAAATAAAATACAATCTCTCCTATTACTTTCGTTTAAAAGGAAGGCAAAGTGGTTAAATATTCGAATATTAGTAATACGGTGTTGTCTTTGTTAACAACTATATCTAAAATTTTCCCAAAAGATGGATTTTTTTCAAAATCAACACAAATATAGTCCCCGATCCTATAGATTTTTGAATTGACTTTAATATTTTTGGTAGTTGTGACCATACTTTGACATTCGGGGTATTGTTCCCTTTTCAATATTTCATTGCTTTGAAGATTATACTGAGAAAGTACTTTTGAAATATCAGAATATTCATGGCAACTAGTATAAACAAAATTTTCGTTGAAACCTTTTTGGCTTTTGTGCTGTACCTATACACTATATCTGCACTATACACACAACACACAGTAAGGGTCTATCCTCGGGTCTATCTATACTGTGACACAACCAAGCACAACTATACAACACGAACGAACCATGGACGTATTTGACGAGGTATTTGAACTGATTTAAATAAATCTCGCGACACTGTAACCGCTGACACAGTGACCTCGAAGCGACCTATAGAATCTTTGTTGTCTGAACTCTGAACTCAGAACTGAAAAAGTGATGTCCGGTTACATTAAGGCAGGGGTAACGATGTGCACCAGTCCAACGTTTGGCAATAAATGAAATACGCACCAACGGACTTGCGATTTTGGCGCGTCCTAACCGCTTTCAGCTAAGTTTTTTGCTGGGATAGAATATAACTTCACTGTTATTGTTAAGAAAATATTGATGTTGATAATTTTCTCTGCTAGGAAAGCACAGAGCCTTACAGTTATTATAAAGATATATTCATGAAAACTTCTTTACTACGACAGTAAGATATCCACCTATCTTAGAAAAGTACATTTTCGGGATGGGAGAAATAATTTAATAGAATTGCAGTTCTCCTCCTATAGCATAGTTGTTTTCCGTAACAGAAAGTTTTTTTTGGAGTACCAGTAACATGGTTTCAGTAAAGTGATTTTTTCTGTGAGAACAATGCGACATTACTACGATTGATACTTTTTTGGCTATAACAGGAGAAAAAATCTCAGCAAAGACCTTTCTCCTGGGACTTTTCTCAGTGTACTGTCAGATTTCAGTCGATTGGACCGTTGATTGATATATTACGCTTACGCTGGGTGAGCGTAATATATCAATCAAGCTGGGTAAGCGTAATATATCAATCAACGGTTAGATAGCGAGTTGAAACGCCGATATCATATTCCTACATCAAGATTTACATTATAGAGTTATCAAAGACAGTGTTAATGAACTGCAATATTTTGTGTCACATACATCACTATCGAAGCTCAGATTGTAGTAAGAAGCGATCGGTTTGAGGAAAGACTCAAGACAAATAAGACATAACCTAACCTGATGTAACTTAATGTAAAGCAATATGTCCATGGAGTTGGCAATATGCACATGGGTTACAATCCCTGAATCTACGTCAGCTCCTGAAAAAAGTGTGAGATGAATGAAATTTCATATGGAAATTTCTGATATGTGCCTGTGCATTATCTGTCAAAAAGATGTTCCTGGGGATTGTGTGGGTTCATTTACCAAGGAAATTAAAACATATCGCGAATAATAAATATATAATCATGTTTGTTCTATTCATTTCTCAGGTTTTATATTTGGTTCGACATAAATAATAGTTTCACTAGTAGGTAGGTATTACATTCTCTATTTTCAATAATTTCCAACTTTCACAGGCATGGCCATATTGGCACCGTGTTGGCATTATGGCCATTTATTTGTATATGGCCATTTATATATATATATATATATAAATATATTCTTTTATTCACAAAGTGTTTTCCGTAAGTCGTTATTCACAATTAAAACAGCTGACAACACATGAGCAAGTACTAAATGGACAAGTTTCACGCTGAACGCAATGTTTTAACGTACTGTGAAATCGTGGGATGTTCAATTTGATGGTTTTTGAAGTATGACAGCATATTCCATCGGAAAATTGATGGATTTATCATATGTTGCAGAATTCAAGCACAATGTGTGCCTGAATATTGTTCGTAATAGAAATCATTTTTCGATATGGTGAGTAGCCACCTTTGTTTCATTCAAAAAAATCAAGATATATCATAATAAAAGTTTTTTCAACTTCAAATGAACCTGTGAAAAAATTCTCAAGCAGTATGATGAACGTCAAAAAGTGACAAATGGGATATCATTCTACTGACATCGTGATTACATATTGGAATAAGTGGATATATACCATGTGTCCCATTTGACATGAGGAAGTAATTGTAATTAACAGTCAAACCTGAAGTGGAGAAAACAATACTTGAACACGCAATTGATAATGCATATTCATGTATCATACTCATGAACTGAATTTTGTTTGTTCATCGGTAGAAACAAAATAGTTTAAGAGGTGAGCCACTATTGAGAAACATCCGGTGGGTATATAAAAAGGTTTACAAATGTAGTAATAGCTGTGCTTCATGTTTTATGTGGATGTATCAATTCTTCAGAAGATCGTGGAATGAAAAAACTCATGTTGCTTTGTGATAAGTATATATTTCATTATGCAAGCGGGAAGAAATCAACGGACTGACTCGCATATACTTACTTCTTAAGAGCGCGCATCCATTTTGACAGATGTATTTACATTATTTTTTGAAATATTCAGCTCCATATATTCAGAGGCAGTATAAAAAATACCAGTGAATTCAAGTGAATTATTGATGAATTTGTTCGTTTGACAAAATATAACTTCTTATGATTTCAGAAATTGTCGAGAGCATATTATATTCTTCACTATTGATTCATAAGCTGCGGAAAGTAGACTGTGCAAGAAGTTCTAATATTCTGATAGTAATGATATCACACTAGTGATTATTAACTGTCAGAATTTCGAAATCTTTTGAATAGCCTACTTCACCGCGGCTTATTAATAAATGCAAAAGAATTGAATGATTCAAATCATTGACAAGTTATTTTGTGAACGATCAAGTCTATCGATTACACTTGATTTGACTATAATGATGATGATGTTTGAAGACTAACTTCTTAGACTCGAATTTCGATTTCAAATTTCGCGCATTCAATAAAAATTTCTCTGAACTGTGAGCAGAATATTTCAAAAAATTATAATAATACATGTCAAATTGGATGCGCGCTCGTAAAAAGTAGGTAATTTTAACCATTAATTTCCGCTTGTTTGAAATATTGAAACAGATCTACAAAAATTTGCCATGCACAATTTTGTTCTTAAAATGAAATAAGTTTTCTGCTTTTCCTCAAGACGGACCTGGATTCTGATCTCGATTTTCATTTAGTGTTGATCGGTAATATAGGTGAAATATTTCTACCAAGTATGGATAGATTATACACAGTATTTCAAAAATTATGACCAGATGAAGATTTTGCCAAATCAAGATAATGTCTTGTATCTCAGTTATAAAGAAGATGGTAGACACATCAATGAGGAGTGATTCAGAGCTATCAAAGTGTCCTCTATCTGCAAGTATCGTATGTACATTGAATCTAAAACATCCTTTAAATTTATCAAAGTAAACATTATCTATCTAATTCATTCAGATATATCATAAAAATCCATTTTCAATACTGAATTCCACCAAATCTTTGATCCTTGTGTTGAAAGTGTCGGTATCTTTCGCAGTAAAATTCATGACATCCATGATATTCTTGCCACCATCACTGATTTCAGTTAAATCGGGAGCTTCCTCAGAATCGCACAGCATTATTTTCATCATATTGAAAGCCATATAGATGCCCATTTTGACCACCTTGTTCCAGTGCTCTAATAAAGTGCTGTAGGGAAACACAGTTTCAGGATCGCAGGAAAACTCTTTCAGGTTTTTGCTGAGGGTTTCATGATAGAGTTTCAGATAATTCTCGTAGTCGTGGAGGACTTCTTTGGAACTGTGGACCAGGAAGAAGTGTACCAAGTCCATGGCTGGAGAGCTGATTTTGGATAATTGCCAATCAATTATACGAACAGTGGATGGTGATGTAGTGTCAAGTTGATTCTGAAAGGAAGGATCATATATGTTTAACCCTGATGATGCTTCTCTTTTTGCAATATGTTTATTCAAATTATATCGATTTCATCAACAATTCCACATCAGCCATTTTATTGTGTTTTTATGACGAATTGACGAATTACCATAGCAACGTAAGAGATGTAGGTATTAGATATTTACGTAATCAGTTAGGAAACGCGTTGTTTTGTGTAACGATGGGATTTTGCGGGACGAGCGAAGCAAGATCCCGCAACATCACAGAGTTACACAAAATGGCGTTTCCTAACGTGTCACGTACAATATTTTTTCTAATTTTGACGAAACATTTCGCATGAACAAAAATAATGACCAGTTTTACATGAGTTCTGCCGACTCTTGTTGTGTGAAATGAATGAATGAAATGAACATTACATCATCAGTTATGTAAAATTTTACTTTACGCAACTGGTTACGTGAAGTAAGACGTTTCAAAACTTCCGTCAGTTTTGAAAAGTGTCACATTACATGTCAAAATTAGAAAAAGAAATTTAACTGGTGCGCTTGTTCCCTATTGAAGGTCGTTTGCAAGTTTCTCGATGGCGCCTACTCTGATAAACCTTTGATAAACATACTTGACGTTGGGTAAATCTCGCTAAGCTCATCCTGGTTACAATCCATATTTACAGGAAACATATTACCGACCGATAAATATTTGGATACGTATATGATTTGAATCAGAGCAGTGAACTGATTCCTGATCGAATAATCGAAACGTCAATATGTCAAAAATATTCTTGAGCTGAAAAAATGGTTATTTCTGAGATTGGGGTCAAGTGTTCGTTAGGGACGTGTTCCGCAGTTTCTAAATTTTATGCATAATACCTAATACACATTGAAAAAAGGAAATCTCTGTTCTACAACAGTATTATTTCAGTGATTTGAAATATTAGCGTGAACTGGTGTGAATAAATTCTAAGATACCAGTAACCATATCTGCCTATCATGATTTTCGATATTGGTCTATTTCAATAGTTGATACATTCTTCGTTCTGGTTCTTCAATGAGGAAAATCATCAGATTTCATGCTTTAAATAGGTTCATGTCATGAAAGAAGTGAAGCTTATTAAAATCGGCTACCAAAAACATTTTTTGCTTCTATTTCAAATTGAAATTTGAATGAAAATGGAAATAGATTCATCCCTCACAGAACCAAGCATTTGAACGATTTTCCGATTATGGCGTCTCTATCGCAAATACCTGAACCCCACGTCCAAAACTCGCTTGCAATTGTTAAATATCGAGAGTTAGTCTGACGAAACAATTGAAGAGTGAGCCCACCAGTTAAATTTCTATACATCTCTGCAACGTATGTATGTAGTATCAAGTTGCTTCTGAAAGGAAGGATCAGAGATAAGTTTAACACTGATGATGCTTCTGTTTTTGCAATATGTAATATGTAGTATCAAGTTGCTTCTGAAAGGAAGGATCAGATAAGTTTAACACTGATGATGCTTCTGTTTCTGCAATATGTTTATTCAAATTATATCGATTTTATCAAAAATTCCACATCAGCGATTTTATTGGGTTTTTATGACGAATTACCATAGCAACGTATGTATTTCGTAGGCCATTTTTTCTCGTGGGTACCCACCAGCGTATGGAATCAGAATTTTATTTATGACGTTTTAATGACAGGATGATATTTGGACATCCAAAAATAGTGATTTTGTGCCACTCCAATTAGAAAGAAATCAACAATTAATAGGCTAAGAATCCATTCATGCCCCTTGCCCCAACTGCATCTATTATATAGAATGTCATACCACTACCTGGGCCAGTGTAAGGCATTATGGAAGGCTAAAATTCGAAATCTCTGGTACTGATACGCTTCAACAGGAAGATCAAATTACTAAGGTGGACGGACATACTGATCTTCATCAGATATCCACGTATGTTCGAGAAGGAGAATTAGGAGAAGGAATAGTAGATATTATGGGCACATGACGTGTGCAGCAGGGGTCGGCAAAAAAGGCTCACTGGGGCCTACTTGCTAGACGACCGCGTCCCCTTTCTCTGCTCCTACTAGTATATACCTATACCTATAAAAAATTAATTAATAAATAATAAATAATTAAAAATGAAATAAATAATAAATTATGTGATGTGATGAGAAATTATAATTTATTATTTATTTTATTTTTTATTAATCACAACTTGTAGTAACCCGAAGTTGATATAAAATGAAGGAATATAATATGTTACATTTTAAACTGGTATTTTCATGCCAATCCATTATTGGTGGTGCCAAAACTGCGACCCAAACTGAAATTACATGTATGCAAATCGAATGAACAAATAAATTCTAAAATTATTCAATTTCCAAACACAATCTGGTGTAGAATTTTCTTACCGTATATCACACGAGGTCAAATCATTTCCAGAAATTTTTTCGAGCTCATGGATATTTTGAAAATTATTTCGAGTCGAAGACGAGGGATAATTTTCGAGCTAGTGATATTACAAGTGATAATTTTCCGATTAACAAACTTAAGATCTGCGATACATATTATATCATGCACTCGAAAGAAAAAACAAAGAATGCATTTTCACTAAAATACCGTGGAAGGGCTCTATAGCTTCTGTGTCGAGATATAGAGAAAAAAATTTCTGAAGATACGGAACTATATCGTGAGGTCAACAAATCACATTTATCTGATCTCTACAGGATGTCCTCTGATCGCAGGACTATATAGGATGTTTCAAAATTCAATATGAAGATTTCAGGAACTTATTTCCCAGGTTGTAATAATACTGTTTTCGAAAGTATGTGTCCGCAAACGCTTTGTTACCGACGATATACAGAGCGTTGAAGTTTCAAGATTTTTGTTGTTCTCCAATACCCTCAATGAAAAGTCATTGTTTATATAGGTTATATTTGAAAACCTGTGAAATTGAGGCAACAAACTGAATATGTAGCGTTTTTTGTTCTTATTGTGATAATAGGTTCATCCTTTATTTTTCAATATGACTTTTATCTACTTGATTATAAGGAATTATATTCTTCTTATAAGATTACAAACAAAACAAGAGGATCATTTCGTTTTTCCATATCTACCAGTTGAGCCCGACAAAACAGTTCATGAAACGAAAATCCGCTCGACCCTTGGGAAAATAGTTTCCTGTAGATTCTCACAATCATTCGACACGTGCTTAAAGCATTGGCTATATATTCATCAAATTGCATCTCGTTATCTCTAACACTAAAAGAGCTATGAGAAAAAAAATCCTCAAATATCAACGCTCTGTAGATCTGTAACGGAGTGTTTGCAGACACATGTATATCAGAAAATAACTTCTTTTCAGATCTGAAAAATAAGCTCCTGAAATATTGATACTGAGTTTTGGAAAACCCTGTATAAATGAAGTAGAATTTTTTCATATGAAATACCCCGTATTCTATCGCATTTTTAGAGCAGTCCTGGAGAGCTGATTCCATCCATGTATCACACTTGAGGTGTAGCAAGGATTACAGGGATATAATATAGGGATGACGGAAATTTGATCGAAAGACAAAGGATAGCAAAACATTTGATAGAAGTCTTTTGATCAAAAATCAAAAAATAAAAAGAACTTTTCACCGAAAATACTTTTGATCGAATGTTTTATAATAAAAAATACATTCGATAGAAAAATAAATGATAGATAATACAATTGATAAAAAAAATATTTGATAGAAAATACACTTGATAGAAACAGCATTTTTTGATAAAAAATTCAACGGGGCTACGCTCAACTTAGGTCAGTTCGTTTGTGAAGATATGATCCTTCCTCATATATTTGAGGAGAAGGAGCTAGAAGTTTGTGATATCAATAGATTCATAAACTTCGACTTCCATCTAGCTCCTTTTTCTCAAATATATGAAGAAGGATCATATCTTCACAAACGTACTGACCTAACTTGAGCGTAGCCCCGTTGAATTTTCTATCAAATGCTGTTTCTATGAAGTGTATTTTCTATCAAATATTTTTTCTATCAATTGTATTTTCTATCATTTATGTTTCTATCAAATGTATTTTCTTTCATAAAACATTCGATCAAATGCATTTCTATCAAAAATACTTTCGATCAAAAGACTTCTATCAAATGTTTTTCTGTCATTTGTCTTTCGATCAAATTTCCGCCACCCATAATATAGAATCGAAAATTTTCCAGTCTAGGATTTTCTCGTGTCGAAACTAAACATTTTGGGTCGAAACGGCCCACATGTCCCTATCTCAGTACTACTACCCACATACAGGGTGTCCTGAAATTACATAGGACGATTCCAACCACAGATTCTAGGAACAGAAATAGTAAAAGGAGTTTATATGAACATGAGCCCAGAAATGGCCCCCTGGGGAGTTATAGCCACCTGGAAGAGGGCAGAGATGATGGTTTTTTGTAAATATCTCCGAAGCCCACTATGCCGAGATAACGAAATCTTGTACAGGGTGATTCACCATAAATGTCACCCCCTCTAGCTCAGTTATTTTTGAACCGATTTCAAAATTTGAAATATCACCTTGAATGATTTTCGATAAAGTTTTTTTCAGCTAGATCAGAAAATACAGGGTGCTCGGAACAAACGATCTACAGGGTACTATTTGATTTTTTTAAATAGAACACCCTATTTTTCATTGTATTTTTAGATTCTCCCTGAAGATCTGATTCGATCAATGTATCACACTCGGGGTCTAGCGGGCCTGATTACAGAGATATAGGGTGTTCAAAATCGAGATTTTTAACTTTAGGATTTTTTTTGTGACGAAACTATTCATTTTCGGTCACGTGGTTTCTATGTCCGTATCTTAACTTTCGATTTACTATGTACTGACCTTTAATAGATGGAACAGATACAGGGTGACCAGAATTCTGAATCTTGAACCACCCTGTAAATGTTCCAATAAAATTTCACTAGATAGTAAATCGAAGTTGGGATGGGAACATAGAAGCCGTTTTGACCAATAATGAATAGTTTCCGCACAAAAAAATCCTAAAGTTGAAAAATCTGGATTTTGAACACCCTATATCTCTGTAATCATTCCTGCTAAACCCCAAGTGTGATTCATTGATGAAATCAGCTCTTCAGGAAGAATCTAAAAATACGATAAAATACAGGGTGTTCCATTTAAAAAAATCAATTAGTACTCTGTAGATCGTTTGTTCCGAGCACCCTGTATTTTCTGATGCAACGGGAATAAAATTTCAGAAAAATCATTTCAGATTATCTTTCAAATTTTTGAAACGGTTCAAAAATAAGTGAGCTAGAGGGGGGGACATTTATGATGAATCACCCTGTACATGTATATTACTTCCTATGCCCGATTTGAAAATGTTGGGAATTTCCAGAAATTTTGATCTTTTATGTTTCGATAACAAGTGGCTCTTTAATGAACAGTATTCTCCAAATCTGTAATAAGTATGTTGACAGAATGAATAGTTGTTTTTTTGATACAAAATTTGCCAAGTTTCGGAAGGATTTGTTGAATTTATTGTAATTAAAATCAATACCTGTATTCTCTAGGGCTCCAAGTTACATCATACAACTAAACCCATCAGCACAATTTTTGCTCTATTATTTTTGCCCTATAATTGATTATTGGTATAAGATCTGAGTGGGAGTTAGGTTAGATTAGTTTTGGTTAGAAAACTTGTAAGTTGGTGTAAGCCTGTTAGTTTTCTATAAATAAATAGATAAATAAATAAATAAATAAAATAGGTGGAGCTGGGGGTATTTTCCCTAAACTTTATTTCTATGCAATTCTTTGCAGGTTTGCCAGGAAATATGAAAATATCATCACTTCCATTTGGTTTCGATAGCACTCAACATTTTCGAGGTAAATCGATTTTGAAAGTCTGCTGCGTAATGAAAATAGTACTTTTTCCTAATAGGGTACCTACTATAAAACATTTTTCAATTGTTCCTCTCATATTTTGAGTAAAAGGTCATGAGAGGATGATTAAAAAAAGGTATCATCTATCGAAAAATTATTTTTGGGAAATTTCGGTACCCTATTATAAGGATAAAGGACTATTTCTTATAATATTGTCACGAGTACAACATACGGTATATTAGTAATTTCGAACCATGAGGGTTTTATAAACATGAAGTTAATCAAATCATCCGTTGACATTGAACTATGAAAAAAGGAACTCTCATGAGAAACGTGCAAGTCTAATAAAACGATGTATACCGGGTGGCTACGGAAGTATTGCCTACGGAATATCTCAGTTATTGTATGAAGTAGGTTTGTGAAATTTGGAGCGTCGGTATAATGACATAAGAGCTAGAATTCGAGCATATTGACATGTCGCAGTTAACTTCCGGTCTGACCGGAAGTAACATCAACTTTCTTATTTTGAATGGAAACCCTATTTTTTTTTCTTTTCGCTTTATTCAGCATTCAATTCCCTTTCTAATGACATATCACAAATTGGTATCTAACCAGAAACTAGATCAGAAAAAAATTATTATTGAAATTCACCGAGTAGGCCGTGAAAGCAAAATGAAAACCAAAAAATGACTTTCTATTATATCATTAGAAAGGAATGGTTATGCTGAATAGTACAGGCAAGGAAAAGTTGTATGTTCCTATTCAAGTTATGGACCTACAGAGTATTGTTTTTTTCCCAATTTTTCCAATATTTTTTTTGGCGGCTTTTTATAACGCCGACGAATGAAAATAAAATATCACAGTAGTAGCAACTGTTATCAAGTGACGTATGGTTTCCATAGCCAACTTTTCAATTTTTGGCTTTCATTTTGCTTCCACGGCCTACTCGGTGAATTTCAATAATAATTTTTTTCTGATCTAGTTTCTGGTTAGATACCAACTTGTGATATGTCATTAGAAAGGGAATTGAATGCTGAATAAAGCGAGAAGAAAAAAAATAGGGTTTCCATTCAAAATAGGAAAGTTGATGTTACTTCCGGTCAGACCGGAAGTTAACTTCGACATGTCAATATGCTCAAATTCTAGCTCTTATGTCATTATATCGACGCTCGAAATTTCACAAACCTACTTCATACAATAACTGAGATATTCCGTAGGCAATACTTCCGTAGCCACCCGGTATAAATATTGGATGTGAGGGTTCTGAAGTGAGTCTGATCTGGGGCTACTCTTGACTTGACAAGAGCTCGTCAATATGGTCATTATAATTTTTCACGGTATCACACAAAACAATGCACGCACACTGAGCCATGCAGCGATGCAGCCAAATGGCCGAACATGGACAAACCAGGGACTGTTCGACTATACAGCATGATTCGATGGTAGCTGCTGGGTAGTTCAAGAACAAAAAGGAGAAACGTGAGTTGCCACACGTTGTGGATAGCCTGACAACCTCTCTTATGACATGAATTCATCGTTCTTTCCATGCACCAAGTCATTTACCAGGTATCACAGCAAATGTCAAGATAACTTATGATGTAATTTTTTTGTAGAGGTCGACGAAAAAGTCCTTTTCTACTAGCGTGCGTGATTCACCCTATACCCGCACGCAATTTAGTTTGGGAAGTGTAGTTTTCCCATACTACTGCGGGAAAATATAAGTGGTAGGTGATGGAATATAAGAGTTTGAGTTTGTTTGTTGCAGTACTAAGTATGTATGTCCAGAATCATCCATCAAATTGCATTATTTATTGTTAAAATTAGGAAATATTGAAAAATAAAAATTGATTATTATAAAAATCCCCCTATAGATTTGGATTGATCTGATGGAGAACGATTATTGTTGTCATGCCAATCAAACCTTGTCGAAGTGACAGACACAGCGTTACTGTCATTTTCGATTCAGTGGAATTGCCACAATGTGATCAAAAACTTCCAGCTAAAGGGATGGATACAGATGCGTTATTGCCAACGAAGTCAACAATGAAGAAATGAAAATACCGAATGGAGAAGATGAATTTTTGGCTCATTTCCTAGAAGTGTCTGAAACCTAGAGAGACCAAGCACCTCATGGGCCTGCTGGCTTCCGCAATGAACTTATACATAATGCGTCAAACTGCAAGTTCACAATAGCTATTAGTAATAATAAGTAGATAGAGAATATATTTCTCTTGCTAGTTTTTTCTTTATGCGAGAATAATTGATTAAACAAATCAATCAATTTCCTACGCTTGTAGAAAAAATATTGTTCCTAACACATGCGGAAAGGGTCTTTCCCGCACTCGACTGCTTGCCCGAACTCCGCTTCGCGTCGTTCGTGTCAACGGCAGTCGCGTGCGGGAATGAATCACTTTCCGCACTTCTTAGGAAAATCACTATTTAGTCTGGGAAGTGTCATTTTCCGCAACGAAGCGAGAACAATTTTTCCACACTAGTGCGGGAAATACAAAGATATGATAATATCGCAAAATATAAGTGATTTATGATGGAATATGAAACTTTCAGTTTGTTTGTTGCAGTATTGAGTATGTATGATCAGAATCATTCATCAAATTGCACTATCCATGGTGAAAATTAATCAAATACTGAAAGATAAAAATCGATTATTATAAAAATCCCTCTATAGAAGTGTCTGGATCCTAGAGACCAAACACCTTATGGGCCTGATGGCTTCCGCAATGAACCTACATAAAGCGTCAAATCGTGAGTTTACAATAGCTATTACTAATAATAAGAATATATTTCTCTTGTTAGTTGTTCCTATCTGCATGGATAATCAATCGAACAAATCAATCAATTTCCTACGCTTGTGAAAAAAACTATTGTTCCTAACTCATGCGGAAAGTGTCTTTCCCGCACTCGACTGCTTGCCCGAACTCCACTTTGCGTCGTTCGTATCAACGGCAGTCGCGTGCGAAAAAGAATCACTTTCCGCACTTGTTAGGAAAATCACTATTTTTTAAAGAATCTTCAATTTCCCGTTGCGATAGTAATTTGTTAACATCCTGTATAAGCATTACCTCATATTGAAACATCAAGTTATTGCACCAACCATCCCCATGGTCGATAACCACTTCCTTAGCAGGCTGCTTGAACACCTCATCGAAAACATCAGGCAAACGTTCCTTGAAACCCTTCAGAGCCTCCGTAGTGACTGGATCGTCAAGAAAAGTTCTAAAAATGCTTCCCATCACAGTATCGGTGAACTGAGTGGTCTTCTCTGCATCATGGAAATATTCATCGAAAATATGCTTCTTCATGCTTTGGGTCAGGTCTTCGAATGCTTCAGGTTGCTTCTCTTTCATAGCGAAGGAGACTGCGTGTAGTTTAGCGTACTCTTTCAGCACTGCAGATATGTGTTCTGGATTCATGGGGACCTTCCTGTTCCACATTTTGTAGCCGCTTTCTCGCAGGTCCTCCATGACCAAGCACTCGCTACTCTCAGTATCACAGGTGCCATAGAGCTTAGCGAAACTCTCGAAAGGTTCTGATATGTGGTACTCCTCCTGGATCTCCTTGAACTTCGTGAACACTTGCTCGTAAACGAATATCTCGCGCTGGTATGCTTTGCGAATGGGCACTTGGTTCCTGATCTCCCCCACATGTGATGATTTCAGTACGAGCTCTAGCTTGTTGTGGCCATCTTCGATGGTAACTGAAGTGATCACTCCCAGGTAGTTGTCGCCTTTCGCACTGCCTGTTATGGCTTTGACTTGATGGTCCTTGAAACCATTTTCCTTAGCTATCTTGTCTATGAGCTGTCGCTGTCCTGGTGTTAACTCCACGAGAGTCATTTTATTACTATTGAACAAATTGTTCGGTCGACTGGTAATTGGTATGTAATTATTTAGTTGATGATATAATAATAGATATGGCCTTGTGTTTGTGACGATTATTTTATTGAGGTTGTATTGTTACGTGATATCATGCAGAGATCATAAATGAATTATCGCATGTTTGTGTTTTGAGTTGTGATAACTTTTCTTCACAGATTGTTTGCTTTCTATTTCAGATGTACCCAAAATTAATGAATATTACCGAAGAATGAGATGATGATAGATTCAGCATTCGTTTCATCGGATATTTTGAGATTTCCTGGGATTTTCTTCTCTCGTTTCTACATACAGGGTGTATCAAATTCTTAGCTCAGCATGAGGATCGCGGTAACCTTAAGAGATACAGAGTAGGTTGAATTATTGTAATTTTGGAAATTGGAAAAATTTACATTATTTACGGAGATATCCGAAAGAAAGAATAAGTTATGCAAAATTATTTTTATTATAAGGGATATTTCAGAATGAATGTCACTCTATCATTGCCACTGTTCCTTCTCTACAAAATGGAATTGTTATATTGGAAATCCGACTTATCTTCTTCGAGTGGCCATCATCAACTTCATTTTCTTAAATACGGAAATCGATTTTTCATTTGATTTTTCGATAGTAATCAATTTCTTCGGTGTATCAAGAAATTACTAAGAATGTTAACTTCAATGAACAATATTTTTATGAAAGGTATGGTTTTAATCATCTTTGTATATACACACCGTTCCTGGTATAAATTTGTATTTGTCTGAGACATTGTTCAATCCGAAGTAACTCCTACATAATTAAATAGATCTCATTTTATATGCATTATCAGTTATACGAAACCAGAAATAATGATTGAGCAATTGTTTATTATTCATTGAAATAATATTTATGAATCATGGAAACACAATGTAATCAAAATGCAAAAATACCGAACATTAAGTTCTATTTCATAGTAAATGATCAAAAATATTGCTGTTTGAAATAGATTAGAAAAGAATAGAATAAGATCATCATGATCGACAAGAATTAATACTCAAAAATTATATAAGTTTTCTTACGGCCCTAAAATATTCAACATTTTACCAAAAAATCTCAAAGATATTACATCTCTCGAAGTAGCGAAAAATTATGTACAGAAGCACCCAAAAAAAATTATATTTTTCAACTGAAATAGATATTTATCACATCAAGTTTCAAGTGTTTCAATTTATCCGGTCTCTTTTGGATCCTAGTCAGATTTTTTTCTCTCTCTTTCTCTATCGATTTTGACAAAAATTATAAGTATACTGCACATTCGAATACCATTACGGATGAGACATACACTTGTACAAATGCGTTGCTGATTCAGAAATTACAAAACAGCCTAAAATGCGTGAGTCATTTTGATATCATACAGCTGTCCATTTCACCAACAAACAAAAAATAAAAAATCTTGATATCTTGAAAATCTCTACAAGAACTTTGGATAGAATAACATTAACATTACCTGATGAAAATCCATAGCAGATGAGGAAACTTCACAAAAGATGAGATTTCCACAAAATTCTCAAACACACGATATGTTTCGATGCGTATTTCCGAACCCATGTGCAGTACAGAGCTCAGCTGCTCTGGGATGCACGTGGGTTCGAAGTTCATTACTCCGGATATTGGCACTCCGTACCAAAGTTCATTGCAGACACACACCAGTCTGTAACGCGCCAGGGTTCGTGGAATTCAGAGCACGTGCAGAATAAATCACAATCATTTGTGAATAGATAGGAGAAACCACGGCTTTGAAACTAATTTTCTTCAACATATAGTTTTCTGATTTTTGTGATCTGATAAATCTTCTTGGGTAGTATATTTAGAAAAAAGAATGAAATATTGAATCATTAATTCTATACTCCTCAAAATACGATCTTCTTCAGTTAACGCGATCTATATTACCTATATAAATATATAAAGAACTAAAAGTTGCACGACCTCAAAAATTCTGAGGGACGGTAAAAAAACATGAATAATCCAACTAAAATATTTTTGTTATTGTGAAGCTTCCGTTTTTTCCGGAAGTGACGTCATCTTTGTTATTGACAAAGGGACAATAAGTATTTTTCAACATTCATGAATACTTCTCACAACTTTTATTTGAAAAAGTACAATTCACGGATTATCTCCGAAATAACGGGTTCAGGACATAAGGAAGTTAATGACAACTATTACATAAAAATGTCATATAATATGTTCGATATGTCACTTCTTCTAGAAAAAATCGAATAACTCAAAAACGGATCATCTTATGTACGGGTCATTGGAGGAATTCAAAAATGTTGTAAAAAAGAGGGTGTCTCATTGAATATTTCAAAGATGACGTCACTTCCGGAAAAACTGGAAGGTTCACAATAACTGGAATATTCTAGTTGGATTATGTTTCTTTCACCGATCCCACGAATTGTGCTACTTCAGGTTCTCCATATTTATATCGCGTTACCGTTACCGTTAACTCATGAAGTATACAGGGTGGGTCACGGTAGATGGCACCTTAGACGTTTACGGGACATAAGATCATTCTGAAAATTTGGTTACTCAAGTAATTGCTCTTGATCTATCGATCTGAAATATTTTCAGCTCTGCGGCGTTGCCGCTTCTATAGAAAAGTAGCAACAACTTTGTTATTTTAAACGGAACACCCTGTATTTTATTGCATCTTCAGATTCTCTCTGAAGAGCTGATTTCATCGATATATCACACTTGGGGTCTAGCGGAAATGATTACAGAGATATAGGGTGTGAAAAATCGACATTTTTCAACTTAAGGAATTCTCTGGTAGTAGTCCATGCTCAAATTGGAGGTGATGAGATAATTAAGAGAACAAACTCAAAGTCTCGCTCCAAGACATGTAGCATATAGCATATATGATTTGATTATAATTTACTTGGAGCGAGACTTTGAGTTTGTTCTCTTAATTAACTTAAGGAATTTTTTTTGTCGAAACTATTCATTATTGGTCAAAACGGTTTACATGTCCCTATCTCAACTTTTGATTAACTATCTACTGATATTTAATTGGGACATATACCGGGTGATCAAGAATCTGAATTCTGCACCACCCTGTATTTGTTTCAATTAAATGTCAGTAGATAGTTGATCGAAAGTTGGGATAGGGACATGTGAGCCGTTTTGACCAATAATGAATAGTTTCGACAAAAAAAATTCCTAAAGTTGAAAAATTTCGATTTTTCACACCCTATATCTCTGTAATCATTTCCGCTAGACCCCAAGTGTGATACATCGATGAAATCAGCTCTTCAGAGAGAATCTGAAAATGCGATAAAATACAGGGTGTTCCATTCAAAATAACAAAGTTGTTGCTACTTTTCGATAGAAGCGGCAACGCCGCAGAGCTGAAAATATTTTAGATCGATAGATCAAGAGCAATTACTTGAGTAACCAAATTTTCAGAATGATCTTATGTCCCGTTCTCCGTAAACGTCTAAGGTGCCATCGACCGTGACCCACCCTGTATAACGCACCATTCGCACTATTCAGGTCCAAAATGTTTATATTTAGTAATAAAAGTCTATTGGAGAATAATCTGTGCGATTTGTCATTCCGTCTCACATTATTTTATATGAACATCCTATATATCTATAATTATGATCGTCTCTACCGCTGGAAATTTGAATCACATGACACAGAGCAAGAAATGGTATTGTGATGGCACGTTCAAAACCTCACCTTCTCTATTCCAGCAATTGTACACCATACATTTAGCAGAAAACGACACTTGGCTTCCTACCGTATTTGCACATTTGCCTAACAAAACTACAGATACATATAGACATTTATTCTCCAAGATTGAAGAATTGCGTGAAGATATTGAAAGTCCACAAATATAATGATTGATTTTGAAATTGCGTGCATAAACGCCATAAAACAAGAATTTCCTGAAGCAAAGATTTCTGGTTGCTACTTCCATTTCAAACAGGCTCTCTATAGAAACTTGTAAAAATTTCCAGATTGGGCTAGCCAATACCAAAGGGACCCAAATGTTACTTTGCAACTCAATTGTCTGGGAGCATTGGCTTTCCTTCCTGAAGAAGACGTCATTGACGGGTATGAGGAATTGATGTCGATATCAAATACTGTTTAGTTTGATTTGGAAATCAAACTCAACAGTGGTGAACTATTGAGGTCTTATTGGTCGTTAAGTGAAATGTCAGAATTTTTGAGTTTGATGATTTCTAATGATCCAAAATGATTTAAATAAATGTGAAAAGCTCACAGTCATTTCCACCCAGTGTTCATAAAATGAACAACAATGGTAGATTTCGGGAGAAAAAGAACTACTTCCCTGGCTAATGCCACTCAGGATATTGAATTACATCCTCCCCTATGCATCGACTCGTTTAAACGAATACTGATACAAGTGATTCTTTCCTGAATGCCTATTGATTTCGATTAAGCAAGGCCGCTAGACAACCACAGACCGGTTTCGAGCTCTTTGACTCTCATCGGTGCAGTGTAGTCTCCAGCCAGCAGTCCTAAGACCGCCGACTCTGCGAAGCCTAGCCAAACAAAAATCAAGTTGGTATTATATCCACCCCGAGGCGTCTTTCATCGATAAAATGAAAGTAACGCCATCTGAGTAGAACCGAGGAAAGAATCACTCCAAAACTGAAATTCCCATACGGGAGTGACTGGCAGCCCGACTGGCGTGATATGAACTACGAAATAGTCACAATGCTCACAGTGGAATGAAATAGTAAATAAATGTGAAAAGCTCACAGTCATTTCCACCCAGTGTTCATAAAATGAACAACAATGGTAGATTTCCTCGGTTCTACTCAGATGGCGTTACTTTCATTTTATCGATGAAAGACGCCTCGGGGTGGATATAATGCCAACTTGATTTTTGTTTGGCTAGGCTTCGCTGAGTCGGCGGTCTTAGGACTGCTGGCTGGAGACTACACTGCACTGATGAGAGTCAAAGAGCTCGAAACCGGCCTGTGGTTGTTTAGCGGCCTTGCTTAATCGAAATCAATAGTCATTCAGGAAAGAATCACTTGTATCAGTATTCGTTCAAACGAGTCGATGCATAGATTTCGGGAGGATGTAATTCAATATCCTGCGTGGC